TTGGCAGCGCGTGTGAGCTGGGCAGCCCTCCCCACGGGTCGAGGGTTTGGTGGCTTCTCTCCGCATTCGGTACACTCTTGAAATAGAAATCTGGATTCACTGTCAAGTTCATTGAGTTGGATATCTGGCGAGCAGAGCTTTGCTTTGTCACTATAAAATACTATGCGTGTCGGGGTGGGTCTAAGAAGGATCAGTGCTCCAGTTTTCTTCTGAAGGTATGTATGGGAAGGCTCCTGTGGTGATAGGTGATATTTTGTACTTCTGCCTGCAATTCATACCAAGCTTGGCTGATGTGGTGGTTATTTTTGCGTATTGAGAGAAGTCTTTGCATTTGCTAGTGGAAGATCTTGGTGACTCGTTGAATGAGTGATACTTAAAGGTGGTCAAGCGCTTGCAAACTGTTAGGATCATTATCACTTTCTCTAAAACTTGGGAAAGTGGGAGAGAAAAAGCCAGCAATATTCTCCACAAGAGGAAAATACCTTGTTTGGAAGGGTGCACTCTTGGGGTGAATAACCGTAAATGGTAATTCACTCCTTGCCCAAAATGGTGAGTCGGGAAATCTGAAAGAGCGCTTTCATTAATATCGTGTGTGTGCATTCAAAGCTTTTGGTTTATTTTATGGCGAAGCACTTCTTTTAAAAAGTGCATGACTAGGGCTGCATATTGCAATTCACTTGTTGCGCACGAGCCTTTATTGCTGAGCCCTGCCAGAGGTTCACATCTCTTTTCCCTGGTAGCTTTGAAACCATGTCTTCACATTTAATGCTGTAATTGTGTCAACAGTACTTTGGCCTAGATTAGTAAAGACAGCTCGCTAGTTTTCAAAAGCCAGTGTCATATTTCTTCTTGTTCACAAGATAACAGTCCAATTATAAGTCTTCACCTCTCTGGTTTATATAATACAGGGAGGCTTTAAAACAAAGAAAAACTAAAAACTAGGATAAATTTGGAGATGCTTCGGAGAGTAGTCTGCACTTTTCTGTGACTAAACCGGATTTCCTCTTTCCCTGCACATCCATTTCTGTGCTTCTGATCCCAAACTGCTAGCTTTTGGAACACCTTGGCTATAATGTTTCTTTGAACTGTTACAGGATGATTGTATAACAAGCCTACAGAATGTAGCCAAATGTTGTCCTTTCAGTTTATTTGCTGCTTGTATATCTTGCCTTCTCGCTAAAACGCTGAAGGTGGCCGATAGCGTGGCTTGCAATTTAATAAAGATGGTGCAGAAGAGAGACAGGCCAGTGGCCTGCTTGCTGCCGGAGGGGCCAAGAGGCGCTTGGTTCGAGCCAAGAGAGAGGGGATCTTGCTGGCAGGATCGGCGCTAAATTACACTTGGCCCAAGCGGAGCTCGGGAAGTAAGGCTTGCTCCTCATGCCGTTTTCAGGGATGAGCTGGAGGGAGTCCCGCTGGTGGAGATGGGAGTGGAGGAGCTAGCTGCCTCCCTGGATGACTCGGGGTGCTGGGTTTTCACGTCATGCCAACGTGGGGTGTTCCCGGGTTCCAAAGAAGGATGTTGCAGGCCCCTCTTGAAAGTGGCCTCATCCAGCCATGGGTGGCCATTAAGTGCAAACTATCACACTCTCTGCTGTCTCTTTTCCAGATTGTCCGTTTCTGGTGACTTGGGTGAAAGGATTCCTTGCGTCTTATTAGAATACCTCTGTGTCCCATGCAGTGCTCCTAATGAACATGTATTTAATGACGCTGATGAGGTTCTTTGCGCTTTCTGCTGCCCTGGAGGCTGGTGAATTTCCACTTGCTTTTTTTCTGTATCCCCTTAGTAATCTAAATAACGCTGTGGCATACTTTCCAATGCCTTGTATCCTTTATGCCTTGGGTTCATAAGAAGTTATCCTAAAGTACTTTCTTACAGCCCATTGGGCTTTTCTGGGAAGTCATTTGTTATTTATTTGACAGTAAATGAAAGAAGATAGATTACATAGACAGGAATAATATTAGTAGCATGTTTGGAAATTGAGTCAAGCAGTTCCATAAACGATTATCATTCTCAAAGGCTGTGTAGTATCATATCCAAATTTCTTCATATTACATGTCCCAAAAGAGAAAATATTTTATTGGAAAATATGTCCCCCCCCCCCCAATTTCCTTCAAAAATGTCACACTGTCCAACTGGAAAAATTGAAAAACATTCTTGGGGGGGGGGCGGGAATTGCAGAGCCAAGTTCCATGGGCTTAACCTCCCTGTGAGGTTCTTTTTTAAATTTTTCCTTCTTCGCACCAGTGAAAATCGCAAAGGCAGAGGTGGGTTGCATCAAATGGCGAAAATTGCTTGAAACTGTATTGTAGAGCAGAAACAGAGATATTGCAAACTTTCCTGTAGTTCTGTGAGGGACTTCACTGATTCTCACGTTACTAATTAGATCTTGCTAGTTTCAAAATTTCTGCCTTAATGTTCATTTTTAGTTGACAATAATCTAAAGGGGCTTATGCTGCCCCCTTTTCCAGAAATAGTCACAAACTGATGCTTGCTGACAGAGGAATACACGATAATTATAACTTGTTCTCAGGGTTGTTGCAAGTATGTATGTACTACACTAAAAGGTTTACTAGTTTTCAGCTTGTACAAAAGGGAAGATTGTACTAATTGAGAACACCTGAAGGTGTGTTTTTTTGGAGCTTGCTGTTTGCTTTGTGGATAGTGCAAAGAACAGATAGTGTATATTTATAGGTATCACTGACTTAGACTCAAAGATAGCTGAAATCCATGTATTTAAGACTGATATATATAAATATTTAGGATGCCTCTTTTTCTGCAATGCCTGGGATCAATCCATCACAAAAACTGTATTTCTCAAATTTCTAGGTTGAGAGGAATAGCTTGAATGTGCTGAAGAGTAAATCAGAATGGAACTCCAAGGCATCCATCCGAGCATTCAGATTGTTGGCTTCTTCTCTCTCTTATTTAAGACTTTTTAATACCGTCCACTACCGAGGTCTCGGGACAGTTTGACAGTAGACAGAATAGAACAAAATAAAACACAGCATCCTAATTAATCCCTAGCAATAAAACCCATATTAAAATGACAATGAAACCTTAAAATATTGGGAAAATAAGGTTTTAGCCTGACACTAAAAAGAATCAAATAACACTTGCTTCTATTCATAAAATTGATCCATCTACTTGATTTTCTCTACCCCTGATTCCCTTCGTTCCTTCTTTTCTGCTTCCTTCCATCTGTGCTCTTGTGCAAAAAGTTTAGATTAAAATGAATATTAACATCAGAATGTGCCGTGCAAATAAACCTATGCAGTTCTGCTAAATTTGTGTATTGTTCACCGTAACAAGCAGTGGCTTTCCTTCGTTCAGAATCTGAATGATGCTACAGCAAGATACAGGACAGTATAAGGTGGATCCCATATTGCAGAAGTCTTCATGAACATTTGTTAAAGTTGAAGAGGCCTCCCCCAACTTCCATGGGTGTTGGACTCTGTTACCCTACTGCTCCTATTGCCTCCTCCATACAGGGCCGTTATTGATTAAGGATGATGGGACTGGTAGTCCCATACATTTGGACAGCAGCAGTTTATTGGATGTACAATGTTGCTCAGTATGTCCAAAACTACTGTTTCTTTTCTGCCTAAATTTATTGTCCAATGTAAATGACTCCTGCATTGCAAACTATGCCACTTACCCATTAGCTTTCTGGACAACTTCTCTGGCTTCCAAATAAGTTTTATTCTTGTTAATAGTGCAAAGCTAATATATGTGTGACTTGAAGCCTTTTCTGCCTGGTGCATTATCAGAAGTGCCAACTGAATTCTATTCCCAGAAAATGTTATTGTCAAAGGCAAAGGTGATATTGCCTCTTCCCTTCTCTCTCCCCGTCTCTTTGCTTGCTTAAAGTCCACAGAAAAACCACTTCCAGCTGGGTCCCCAAATACTGGTTGCTGATGACAGCTATAAACCAAATTGTGCCAAGTAGTAAGGAAATTTAGTGTGTTGCTAGCATAGGAGTTAGTTTCTATTTTTCAAAGGGATGTTAAATTGCATCCCGTGGTGGAACACAGAGTCTGATGCGTGGAGAACAGAGATCATGTCCACCATTGTGAAAATGCTAGAAATGCCTGCCTTGCTCCTTTGGTTCCTAACCCCCGCCCTCCAAATAAAACCCCATCCCTTGTGGGGTAATAGGGCACACTTGATTTGCTTCTAAGGAAGAGTTTTGGCCCAAGTTTAGTGGTGCAGCAATGTTGTATGAGGCTGAAGAATGAGTATGGAACCAATTTATCTTTTGAAGTTTGGTCAACTTCTAATTACGTAGAATACCCACTTACTGCTTGGTTATTACCAGGGATCTGCCCATTTCCATCCTGTGCTGGTGCTAAACCTGAATGGTGATCTTTGTTTCTCTTTTTGCTTTGTAGCTATATATAAATAAGCAAAATGACATTTCCCTAATAGTTCGTTTATTTGTGAACAGTTTGTCCATTTCCCTGGCAAATACGTGACTGTTTTTGTTGGGGGGATCAAGTGATCCCCAGCTTATGATGATCCTAGGAACGAATGCCCTCCAAAGTGTACTGTCATTAAACCAAGGCCATGGCATCTTTTATAAAAGTGAGCAAACTCATATTTGGTTTTCTTCTGCCTTTGACTTTTCCTAGCATGGTTTCTTCTCCAGTGAGCCTTGCCTTCTCGTGACGTCCCTAAAGAACGACACTCTCAGTCTCACCATTTTTGCTTTCAAGGAAAGTTCTGCCTTGACTTGATCTAAGACCTCCTTGCTCATCTGTCAGTTCAAAGCTCTCCTCCAGCACCATGTTTTGAACGAATCAATTTCCTCCTGTCAGCTGTCTTCACCGCCCAACTTGCAAACCTGTACATAGAGATTGGGAATATAATTGTGTGAATGATCTTGGCTTTGGTCTCCAGTGAAACCTCCTTACACTTGATTATCTTTTCTAGTTCCTTCACTCCTGCCCTTCCACATCTCAGTCTTCTTCTAATTTCTGGGATGCAGTCTCCATTTGAAGTGATGCCTGAGCCAAGGTATGCAAATTTCTTCACAATTTCAATTTCTTTGTTGCTGACATCCAAGTTGTATAAATCTTCTGTAGTCTTGATTTTGGGGTTTCTAATGTTCAGCTTCAGCCCTGTTTTTGCACTCTCTCCTTTCAGTTTCATCAGGAGTCATTTCAATTCACTTCTGCTTTATGCCAGTTATATACTATCATCTGCATATCTTTAATCTTAAATTATTGATGCATCTTCTGCCAATTTTCACCCCTAATCCATCTTTCCTTATTATATGTTCTGTGTACAGACTGAACAGATAGGGAGATAAATTGCACCCTTGTCTGATGCCTTTGCCTACAGGAAGCTATTTTTTCCCTCTATATTCTGTCCTAAGAGTAGCTTCTTATGCATGTATTATTACTTATTTAAAGCTTTTATATACTGTCCTTCACTAAGAAGTCCCAGGACAGTGGTACAATGAAATAAAAGTAGAGCAGAAGACAACATTCAAAGAAAACCCCACCTTAAAACACACATAGGGAAGGAAATGCTCCTTCAGATATGCAGGTTTTAAGCCATTTAGGACTTTGTAGGTCATCACCAACACCTTTAACTGGGCCAAGACTTCAATTGGTAGCCAGTGCAGGGGATAAAAGACTGGCATTAATGTGTATATCTGCCAGTTCCTGTTAGCAGCTTGGCTGCTCTATTCTGAACCAATTGAAGTATCTGGACCATCTTCAAGGGCAGCCCCATGTAGAGCATGTTACAGTAGTCCAGTCGGGAGGTTACCAGGACATGGGTCACCATGATGCAGGTTGACCAATCTTCCCAGCTTTTGACTGGTAGTCCCTCATATTTTGCAAATTTAAAATTTCAGCTTGCTTGCTGCAGCATACATAAAGTAAAACATTCGAGATGACTCAAGCTGATTCGGTTCTGTCATAAAAAATTGATGCTACTGGATAAACCTAAGTATGTTTTTTCTAGTCATGGTTTAAGATGTAGACCAAAGTGAGAAACATATTTCCAATTTTAAGTGACATCTGCACATATTTCGTCTCTAACCCTGCACAGATCAGAAAATGTATGTCGGATTCTTAAGAGGCAACTCTGAGAGAAGACAGTTAGGTTTTCTCCAGCTCTGTCCTCATCTGGATGAGATTCTATGATTCCATTGGCATGATTCCTATTAGTGGTTACAACTGGCTAAAAGATCCATAGACTTTGAAATGCACCATCAGCATTCAGCTCCAGTGAAAGTTTCTTGAGAACCTTGCAAGTGTATGAATTCCAGACATATGATAGTCGCAGTTCATTATGTATTAACACATTGCGATCAGAGTGGGATATAAGATGTGTCTTTTCCAGACTTTTTTTTTGTAATGAAAATCTGCATGGCGTTGCGGTGTGTGCAGCTTACTCGTGTGTAATTAGTGCATAATATTTTCTAAAATATAGTCAGGTATTGCTTTCTCATGGGAAAACACACGGAAGCCTAGCTGATTCTGTTATTAAGAGTTCTTTTGACCGAAATAAGCAGCGTGGTGTGTGCAAACTTTTTATTCTAGATTTTTCAAAAGGGCAAGGAGTGCTTCAAGTCATAATATGTGGCCTTATTGTTTTCTCCTGGTAAAACGCAGGAAAAATAACCCAAAATGTAGGAAATGGAATGCTTTGCTTTGGAGCTTTTGCCAAGTTTTTTGGGAAGAACAGATCCTGGAAGGCTATGGAAACGTTCCTATGAAAGTGAGACATTTTATCTGAGCGATGACAGAGAACAGCTCTAGCTCCTACTTTTTATGATACTGCTAAGAGCTTGAATAGGGGAACAAAAATATTAGGGTTTGGGTTTCTTGCTCAACAGCCATAGTCTGCCTCTTGCTTTTTGTAACTGAGCAGCACTTCCAACTGGCCGTGTGTGGATTGCCACAGAGACCCAGCCAAACACTGTGGATTCTGCATTAAAGTCCCTGGGTTCGGTTTGTTTGGGCTCCTTGAAGCTGGTTGATTCAGAATTCTGCTTGTGTGAGAGATTTAAGATGGTAAAACATCACATCAGGTTTTAATAATTCTTAAAAACCAAGCTAAAAACTGAGTATTTGGAAAATAAACAGTGTGCAAGTTTATATTTTATGCAAGAAATGTGAAGTGGAGATACAGAGTAGTTGTGATCTTAAGCTAACTGTACTGTTGGTTAAATTTGGGTTATATGTTCAGAAGTTTATTCATTTATTTATTTCCATTTCTGTGCTGCCCCATAACTCGAAGTTTCTCTGGGTGGCTTACAAATGCAAGTTGGACTTTTAAATGTCTTAAATGCATGAATGCACAACTTTATGTATTATTATTTCATATCATTTCTCCTCCTGATTGAAGGATTTAGAAAGATATATGTCTGCACTTTGCAGGAAACATGCCTGGTTTAATACAGACTGCAGTCCCGTCTATACTAGTTTAGGAATTAACTCAGTGGCAAATAAGTTATCATGCATAAGATCTGGCTCTAAATGTCCATTCTTAGACAAATTCCCATGGAATAGCTTTCTTAATGCCCTTATTTTTTTATTTCATTTTTATATCGCCCGGTTGCCGGAGCTCCACAAATCTAGCTCTTCAGATGTTTTGGACTCCTGGCATTCCTGACCATTGGTCATGCTGACCAAGGTTTTTGGGGACCGAAATCCAAAACATCTGCTTTCTGCCAAGACCTGCTTTCTGCCAGCCCTCCTTTACACGACTGCGGTGATCCCCCCAGTTCATTGCTACCCTAGTCCTGTGCCTCACAAGGAGTAATAATGACAATTGACCAGGATTTCGATTTCTCTTTCTCTGCTTTTCTTTGTGTTGTATGGCAGTGCTTCCCAACTGGGTGTTTGCCACATGTTCTGGATTTCAGTGCTCATTATCCCCAACCAGTATCGTCAGCTGCCAAGGATGTCAAAAATTTTAGTTCAACAAGTTGGGGGAAGCTTGCCTAGTGAGACCAGTCCTTGAGAAATAGTAGAAACATAGAAACAGAGTGAGTCAGAAGGGGCCTCCCGGGCCATCTAGTCTGACCCCCGGCTCCAGTCGGCTCCACTCACGACATGCCCACCATGTGCATGTCCAGCCTGTCCCTGAACACCCTCACCAGTGGGGCCTCAGCCACCTCCTGTGGAAGCCCATTCCACACCCTCGGGGTCCTGACTGTCAGGAAGTGCTTCCTGGCATCTAAATCGAACCTTGGCTCCCTTAGACCAACCTTAGTAAGACCAACCATTTTCAGCAACAAGAATCTACAACCAGATTATAGGTTATTTTCTGTTCAGTAGTTTGGACACACTTCGTAGGTGCTGTTGAAGTACCCTAATTGTTAATATTTCTGAAAGTGAATTGGTAGTACACGCAACAGCTTAAAATGTTATATTTGTATAGCAGCACTAATACAGTGGTGGAGTTGTCTGTATGACTATATTTTGTTCACTGTGGATGGCTTGTTAATTTCTCTTCCTGATTCTTTCTTGGGAGATGGGTATAGGGTTACTCCATGTTCCCTTCCAATCCTTCTTCCCCCTCCCTCCCTCCCTCCCTCCCTGCCCGTGTAGGTCACTGCATGGATTTGGCTCCTTTTATAGGCTCGGTGGTGCTCGAAGGAGGACATACATGCATAGGAGAAATGAGTGATGAGAGAATGAGGAATAAAACTGAGATGCAATGTAACAAGAGCAAGCCAGAATAGGCCTCATGTGCTCATCCTATCTTCCTTTGCATGTTCACATCTCTTGTTTGTGCAACTGAGGAGTGACCTGGGCTGGAGTTGCATTGGAACCGTCCTCAAGAACTCTTGGCTTCAGCAACCACCTGTCCTTTTCAGGAGGGCTGTACTGAAAGTATTCTTCCTAGGTGTATGTCTAAATGTCACATTCAAGGCCACTGAAGAAAGAGTTCCGACTGGCTACACGTTAGCCTTGCGATTCAGTCCACAAAAGTGACTGATGCCCAGAGGAACCATGCTTAACTGCCTGTAGCGCAACGAGAGCCTAGGTTTAAGCGGTATCACCGGTACCCGGTTTAGAAAGGCACGTATTTGTCTCGAGGAAAATCTTGCCTTGCTGTAGACAAGAAAATGCCCAAGGGATGAAGGAGATTCTCTGACTGCGACAGTCTTTTCCCAACACAGCTTAGTGTGCCACTTGGAACCCTTCCTGAATGGGGTCGTGTGTGTGCAGAATTTCCATTTGGTGCAAAATGTGACAGCTAACCAGTACCCTAAATGAGTTAGTCTTGCCTTTCTAAAGGAAGGCCTGTTTTTGTATGAATCTGGGTATTTTTAATAGGTTTGGATACTGCTTCCTATATTTAATGCTGCCTCCCAAAATCCTGGGTGTCAGTTGGTATCAATGGAAGGAGGTGTTTGTTTTTTTTGTTTTGTTTTTTGTTTAATTGCAAGGTATTGAGGGGAGCAGCTTTGGAGGGAAGAATTAACTTTTCCCTTCTCCCATAACTCTCTTTCCCAAGCATCCTTTCCTGTATGATTAGTTAAGTTTAGGAAAAGTAGCTCTCAGTGGTTTGGGATGCTCTGGGAGACGATTCAAATGACTTGTTTGAGATGGTTTAGATGAGCAATTGGATAGCTTTGTATCCCATGACATCCTATGTAAAGCATGCTAGTAATTATATTTACAATTGCAGTTTCAGATATAAAGCAGTGTATGCCTATTTTAAGGGACTGCAGGTGGCGCAGTGGTTTAAACCGCTGTGCTGCTGGGCTGGTTGATCGAAAGGTCGCCGGTTCGTATCTGCACAACGGGGTGAGCTCCCATTGCTCCGTCCCACCTCCTGCCAACTTTGCAGTTCAAAGCATGCAAATGCAAGTAGATGAAAAGGTACCACTTCGGTGGGCAGGTCACAGCGTCCTGTGCATTTTGGTGTTTAGCCATGCCGGCCACGTGGCCACGGAGACTGTCTGGGGACAAATGCTGGCTCCCTCGGCCAGGAAACAGAGATGAGCACCGCCTCCTAGAGTCAGGCATGACTGGGCTTCACGTCAA